TTTCGGGTAAAACTATGAATAGAGCAGCTTCTATATTCCTGTACGCTTTTCAAGTTGTTGTAATCAATGTTTTGAATGTGACTCTTTCGAAGATTGTCTAGCCAATATCTTGTATTCATCCTCCTCATCGCCATCACCCTCGGGGTATAGCCTAGTGTCACTGTCCAGCTGAGCACCTGATCAGTACAAATGCACATATCTGGGTTGTGAGCCGAAGACTCTCTACTTTAGACCACAGCCAATGTCTTTCAATCTGAAGGCTCACATTGGTCACGGAGTTTTTTAGTCTATTAGAGGAAGCTTACACTCTGGCCGTTGGCTTTAATTGAAAAACCCTCCGCTCAGTGATGGAGCCGTGTTTATCCCATTGTACTTGATGGCAGCTAACCTTACTCAATTTGAATCCTGATGGGTACCTAGCCACCCTAGGCACCAGAAGATGTCAGTTGGAAAATTGTCATAGTGCTGGATTACTGACATAATGAAGTAGGCTGTTGAAAAAAAAGAGTTAATCTTGAATGCGTCTTTCTAAAGATTTTTTTTTCAGTCGACATCCGAAATGAATTTTTCTATAAATTATTTCAAAGGATTATACAGAAATTGTTTTATCCTATATCCAGACTTTAACTTTCCAAAGTTTGTTTATCCTATGTCATCTCACCTACTGAACTTGATTCAGCGACACTCCTGGTTGCATTCAATGTGCAGCTTAATTCTTTGCTTTATCTGCAAACTAACACCTGTCAGTGATCGTCGTCGATTTTAGCAGATCAATATTGATTCCCCCCAAGTCTTTCCCAATTCTTATCTGGAAATACTCATTTCAGCTGGTGCCCACAGATACGTGCCAATGACGCTGCTACACACCGTTTCTCGATGATGTTCTGAGATAGTAATCGATATGTAAAAATCAATATTGATTGCCCTAATTATTTGTTTTCTGTTCATATAGCGGAGACATTGTTGGCATCATGGAGACTCGGTTAACATTATTTAGACTCAAGTGTGCCAAAACGTTAACCTCGTCATAAGTACGACAGTTTTTGGGAGGGGATGAGAGAGTCTGTTTATTTAATCTGTTCTTAGATTTTGCCTTGAGCATTTTACAGATGTGAAGAAATGGGTATTGATCATTTAAGCCTTCCATACCACATGCCAAACGAATCTATTAATAGAAAACAGTGTTCTTGCTTTCCCTCTCGTGGCCAATGCCCTAATGATGAAGGGATGTTATGCTGACGACATAGGTATTCATAGTCGGGATAAGGATGAGACAAGAATATCAAAATACTCTACCAAGTGTTCTAAAAGATGGAAAACAATATAAACCTGTTCAAAACGAAAACTGTGATCTAGAATTGGAATACAATCAGTGATGCCACATAAACTGAATCCACCATAAAAAAAATCAAGATGGGGAAATAGCTCGGCATATCTGTCTATATTTCTGAGATGAGGCATTATGTACCCTATTTACATTATTCGGAATATTGTCCTCATATTTTTCGCCATATTTATCATAACGTTTCGGCCGTTGTACGCTCCGGCCTTCTTCAGGTGGTTAAATGTCTGAATTCTTTACTTCCTCAATGCCATAGTGGATAAAGGCGTTGGTTAGATCCAGTGACAGGACCCAAAGAGTGTGAGTTCAATACCCGGTTAAGGGAAATTAACAGGAGATGATAACTGACATCCATTAAACATGGAACTAGAACAGTCTACCCCAGTGAGCAAAATAAAGGGTCCAGTTTGACATTCCACCCACTTGAAGAAGGCCGGAGCGTACAACAGCCGAAACGCTGTGATAAATATGGCGACAAAGATGAGGAGAATAGTTCGAATAATGTAAATAATGTAGCTCGGTGTATGTTTATAATCTAAGCCTAGCTTACATTTGGCACAAGATAGATAGTATGGGGTACCCTGTGATGGGGTACCTTCATCGTAACTGCTATAGCGTGACAACCTTGCTAAACATTACAGGCGATCTATGATGTTCCACCCGTAGCTTAGATGGGATACATGGTCAATAGTGTGGAGAACCCAGTAGGGATCGAACTCACTCCTCAGTCGTAATTGTTATCGCGATACAAGTTTGCTAACCATTACACCACGTCGAGATGCTCTATAATATTCCACCCGTAGCTTAGATGAGATGCTTAGTTGATAGTGTTGAGCAGCCAGTCGGGATCGAACTCACTAATCACTCGTAACTGATCTATCGACACATGCTTGCTAAACATTGCACCACAGAAAAGTGTCCATAGGTAATTTTCTAAGCGTAGCTTAGATATGGCACAAGACTGAAAATATGGAGCACCCAGTGAGAAATGCACTGACTACTCAGTTGTAATAGTTATATCAAGACAAGCTTGCTGACAATTACACAACTTCAAGGTGCACAAATACCTCGGTGTAATGAACAGTTGTAACAAATTTAGTATAGGAGATAAATTAACATAAAATAGGTTGTACTAAAAACCAAAACATTAACCTGAAAATTCGAGTTCTGTTCGTAAATAGCCTCGTCAGATCGAGACATTAACATGGATGTCATTCTTAGCGCCAAAACAATTCAGATATATCTAAACTGCCAGTTTTGGTTGATCAATGAATAAAATGGCTTTGAGCGAGTGAAGCTTATGGATTTTGGCGATGACTGAACTTCTTCAAACATTGTGGACTGGCGCTACATAATCACAAATGAGTATAGAAAGTAACGGAAATGACAGCAAGAGCTAAAATGGATAACATATCTAACAGGAAGAGAAAATAATGACTTAATGAAAATGTTGACATTCCACAACACATCAAACAAAAGTTTAGGAAGGAAACCCTCTTCAATAATGGAAAGAACAATAACAATTAATTGACATGAGAAAGTTACTTTCCTGAAAAAATATTTTTAATAGAAAGTTTTTTGAATTTTACCAAACAGTAGCATTGTCTGTTCGCTCAGTGAATGTTTTCTCATAAGAAGACGGCTAATGCTATCATTACTATTTGCTGTAAACGCTCAGCACATGCATTTTTGGAAGTTGAGGTGAAGTCCAAAAAAACTCATTGAATCAATACAAAAATGGTTAAACTTGTTTGTGAATGAATTAATTTTTTGAAAAGGGATGAAAATTGTAAAATGAAATAAACGTCTTTCTGTACTATGTATTCCTAATCAGTGCGTATAATGCATGACAAAAAGTTTGTATAGACACAATGAGGAAGGAGACGGCAGTAACATTTATTAGTTTATGCCTCTTTGGAGATCACGGGGAAGAAAATGTCGAGTTACTGAGAATGGTATTGTCAGCAAATAATCTATATCTAGAATTCTCAAAATGTCTGCGTGTATGTATGTATGTATGCATGTGTGTGTTTGTGTGTATATGTCTTTGTGTGTGTGTGTGTGTGTGTGTGTGATTGGCTGTTCATGCGTTTCCACAGTTTTCATTCGATTTCGATTAATTCTTTTTTTTTTTTGATAGATAATTCTTCAGTGCGGGTTTTGAGTTCAAATTGTCTGGAAAAATTACAAACTTGAAGGTGAAAAATCGAAGAACTGATTTTTTTTACACTTTGCGGAAAAATCAAAGGCATAATTTAATGTCTGTAAAAAAACAGCGTACGATAAGTTCAGAGAGTTGAAATCTAACGCAAAAAAGATTATTAAATTATAAAATATATATATATATATATATATATATATATATATATATATATATATAAATAAAAAAATTATAGTATATTATTATTATGACGGTCCATGCAAGAGGTTCCTTCCTTGCAAGATTGAGAACGTGAAACCGGCCCTTTACTGCATCCTTTTTCAAATTGTTACAACCCTCCATTTGGAGATGTGTCTCAGTTCCACCCAATTGTTGTTACCAATATTGATTTTCGGGTGGTCTGAATTTAAACTTAAAACTGCTCCATGCAAAAATCCCCACTAATGAAACACCCGATCCAAGACGGGTTATACTTCTGATTACAAAACGAGAGTATCTATTGGCTTTCATCTGTGGCTTTAGCATTTTTTATCCTCCCTCAGAATCCCCAGAATAAGAGTTCTGAGAATTGAATTTAAGTATTTTGATAGGTCCCTTAATTACCTTTCGAATTAGGTGTAGTGTTTAAGCACATGTCAGTATGTGGGAAGAATTTCTGTGACTGTGTGATGTGTATACTGAGCCTCTCTCTAGCGTCGTATGTCCATCAATTTAGCCTTGACTAAAAGGTTTGCTCATATTTTGGAGATACAACATCTTTATTAGTAATGATAACGTTACTGCTTTTTATTATGGTTTATATAGCGTAAACAGTCTTTTTAGTCATTTCTTTTTAAATAAGAGATTAGTGTTCTCTATCGATGCATCATAGAAAAAAAAATGAATGCAGAATTCTAAATTAACGCTTTATTTATATTTATCCATCTAAGTCTTCAGCCTGATCCACTTACCAAAATTGGAAAGACATCTTAACAACTAAGCTTCAGAAATTTTGGGGAACAAAAAGGTGGGGGGAAAATAAGAACAAAACTTGCACAATAGGGACAATAACAGGAAAACATGGGACAAAATAGGGGCCAAAAATGGCAAAAGAGAGGAAGATATGAACGAAAAGAGCCAGACGACAGCACTGACCAATTTTCTAGATTAGTAATGCCTTTCTGTTTTCAAAACATTTTTTTTAATATGAACCAATTTATATCATCCAAAGATAAATCCAGATCGCCTATAGAACCGGGAGACAAATGTGATCCAGTTGGATTAAATTTCACTTTTGAAATAATTATCATCTACTGTATTTAATCAAATACTAAACATTCGTAAAAAAGCGTTGCATATACTATTTATATCTATCTAATATATAAAACCGAAAAACCTTTGTGTACATTTCTGTGCGCAACCCTGGAAACTAATTAAATATATAAAGTTGATTACTCGTGTGTATGTTTATAAAATTACCCAAAACTGATATCATATAAATGTGGCTTTATCTTGCGAATGTTCCGACAGTCAACTCGAATCAAATACGACAATAAAAAAAAACGAGTGTCCATATTCTTGCTTTCTCTCTTCCTTGATTTGTTCGTAAAGATTCTATATTTGTTTAGATTTTTACTTTCTTTCGTTCTCTTTCTTTCTTTTTTATTTATTTTTTCTTTCTTTCTTCATCGTCTTGCTTTCTCGCTTTTGATCTTTATTTGTTCAGAATTTTTCCTCTCTTTTTCTTTCTTTCTTTCTCCATCTTCTTGCTTTCTCTCTTCCTATTTTTATTTGGTCAAATTCTTCCTTTCTTTCTCTTTCTTTCTTTCTTTCTTTTTTTCTTTCCGACCGACGTCTATGTGATAACCTCTTGAAGTGCCATCATTTTTCTTTCTTTTGCTCCGAATCTTTCTTTCTTTCTTTCTTCAAATCCCCTTACTTTCTCCCCCCATTTAATTATTTGTTCATACTCTATCTTTCTTTCTTTCTTTCTTTCTTTCTTTCTTTCTTTCTTTCTTTCCGACCGACGTCTATGCGATAACCTCTTGAAAGTGCCATCATTTTTTTTCTTTTGCTCCGAATCTTTCTTTCTTTCTTTCTTCAAATCACCTTACTTTCTCCCCCCATTTAATTATTTGTTCATTTTCTTACTTTCTTTCTTTCTTTCTTTCTTTCTTTCTTTCTTTCTTTCCGACCGACGTCTATGCGATAACCTCTTGATGTGCCATCATTTTTCTTTCTTTTGCTCCGAATCTTTCTTTCTTTCTTTCTTCAAATCCCCTTACTTTCTCCCCTCATTTAATTATTTGTTCATTTTCTTTCTTTCTTTCCGACCGACGTCTATGCGATAACCTCTTGAAGCGCCATCATTTTTCTTTCTTTTGATTCGAATCTTTCTTTCTTTCTTTCTTTCTTTCTTCAAATCCCCTTACTTTCTCCCCCCATTTAATTATTTGTTCATACTCTTTCTTTATTTCTTTCTTTCCGACCGACGTCTATGCGATAACCTCTTGAAGCGCCATCATTTTTCTTTCTTTTGCTCTGAATCATTCTTTCTTTCTTTCTTTCTTTCTTTCTTTAGATCCACTTATTTTCTCCCCCCCCCACTTAATTATTTGTTCATACTTTCTTTCTTTCTTTTTTTCTTTCTTTCTTTCTTACCAGAATCTTAGCGCTAACATTTTGAAAGTGTTGATTTCCTTTCTTTATTTCTTTCTTCGGCTAAAATTCCGATATCTTGTTACAATAATAATGTAAAATTATCACTTCTTCACGTATAATTCTATAAGCATGTACACAGATCAATAAGCTTCGTTTGATTGATTAATTAATTTATTTTACGGCATATCAACCTTTTGCAGGTTATTTGAAACCAGAATATATTTTTATATTGTAAGAATTTAGGGGATATAATAATGATTTACTGATACAAATTCTACTAATTAACCCATAGCTGGGAGGAGAAGAGGTAGATTCATACATTTCCCAAGGTTATATATACGTAAGTTAATTTAATGAACCCGAATGGAATCGGAACCCGGTTCTCCGATTTCAAGCCGTTATCCATTACACCAACGGCACATAGAAATTTAAAGCATGTAGTATTCCCAAGCGGTTACCCATATAAATACTGACCAAGCTCGACGTTGCTTAACTTTGGTGACCATAAGTGAACCGGTGTTTGAACGTGTATATGCCGTAAGCTCAGTAAGCTTCGAAGATATTTCTCATTTCTTTTCTAACATTATACAAATGATGGTATTAGAAATGTTCGTTTTAACGTACCACGAATATCAATACAAGTCACAGAGATAAAGACATACCTTCCTGTCGACAACTTATACTACTGTAACTACGAAAGCTAGTGATAAATGTTAATATCCACAACCAAAGAAATAATAAAAATATCGAACTTGTTAATTCTACACGTGTTACAACGCAGACGTCATCTCGGCGTTATTCCTTCCCGCTCGTTCCAACCCCTTTTCTTTTCGTCTCTTTTGGGCCAACTAGTAGCGTTCTTGGCAAAAGAAACGTTTCGTTCGGCCTTCTTCTTCGTCCAAATCCCAGATGGACACTGTCTCCCGCGCCCATGTCATCTACAGCGGCACTCGGAATGGCTGGCCGGGCCGGTTGGACAGCCAAGCAAACAATCAGCGCGTCTCTCCCATCCACAATCCACCGGCCAGCCATTTCAAATCGGCTGAAAGATATGTTGAAGGATGGACACACATAAAAGACTGACAGGACGGGAATGCCTGCGCTGTGGGTGGGGCAGGAACTTGGATTGTTCTGAGTTGCGTGTTCAAGGCCCATGGCGTTCTCTATCTCAACGGGGTTGGGACTTTTCCTTTGGTTTAGTCTTTACGCTCTCTTCTACGAGCTAATTCTGAAGAATTTACGGACAGGTTATCACTCTGTGTGTGATCAGCCAGTCGCGTATATATCTCTTTCGATGGCGCCTCTGCGGACCTAAAACAGGTTTAATAAGATGTCTCTTCAGTTGCTGGAGTATGACTGCGTATATACATTTATATATGTAGTTATAAAGTATGTAGTATGTATGTATCGGTTTTGTGTGTGAGTGCATAACCTTTTATTCTATACCCAACCGCAAACTGACTTATAATTTTTTTTTCCATTCACACCAAGCAAAATGATTTACATTCGCAAGGGAAAGAGGAGAAAACATTTCTGACCCGTTCCTTTTAATAGAAATATCTTTCTTTTTTTTATTTCATTCCTTTATCTGTCTGCCTGTCTATCGTTAAATTCCACGTCATTTTTTTCTGTCTTTTAGCAAGACTTTTCCATTTCTCCTCTTTCTGTCTTTCCGCAAACAAAGTTTGATCATTTCTTTCTTTGTTACGGCCACTGAGAAAGACCTGTAGAGAATTACCAATAAGCAATAAAATGCGGACCAATCCGTGGAGCATTGTTCAGCAAGATATTATTACAGACCATTTATTTCTGTCGCCAGCTTGGTACACAATGAATGTCGTACACCTGCAGTCATGTGATGCTAAGCTTTACGCAACACACACACACACACACACACACACACACACACACACACACACACACACACACACACACACACACACACAGAGGCCCTACAATATAATATTAATGTTAATACTAATAATAATGATAATATTTAAGAAATTATCAAAATACAAGGATCTTGAAGTGAAAATCTAAAAAAAATGTGGCACATGAAGATATCCATAATTCCAGTTGTTTTGAGGGCCGAGAATTTGATTGGAAAAGGGGTACTTGGCAGCCCATTCCTTAAAGAAATACAAAACAAGGTATTCAAAAACATAGATAGCGCCCGACGAAGGGCTTTAACCATGTAAACTGTGTTTTTAGGTTAATTTATTTTTATTTTTTATACTTTGTGAACTGTCATGATGTCATTTTTGATCTTAGGTCTCTGGAAAGGTGATGTGTATACAACAGAAATCAAAGAAGATGATATATACTACTACTACTACTACTACTACAAGTAATAATAATAAAAATAATAATAATAATAAAAATAATACCAATAATAATAATAATAATGATACGGGGAAGAAACTGCAAGAAATTCGTATGGACACCACACAGACCCGGTTACAATCATAGGACCTGTAAAATTTCTCTTGGACTTTACTATACACACAGAACTATCAAAGATAATCGCCTAGGCAACATGATTAATGACCACAAAAAATGTAGTTTGTTATTGATACGGCAGCCACTGCATATTGTAATGCATCAGTGAACATCTTCAATAAACTATCAAAATACAAGGATCTTGAAACAAATATCTAAAAAAAAGTTACACACGAGGACATCAATAATTCCAGTTGTAGTTGGAGCCCTCGGAATCATTAGAAAAAAGCTCTGATAGACTCATTGAAAGGATTCCTGGTAGAAATAAAAACATTGTACTCAAAAGTACAGTTTACACATTACGAAGAGCTAAATATGTGTTTTTTTTTTTTGGGGGGGTTACAAAAATGATCAGTGGAAAATATCATGAAGCCATTTCTGACCTTAAGACTCTGGTTGGGACCCGGAAGGCAATATGCTTACAACAGAAATAAATCAGAGGAAATAATAATAATAATAATAATAATAATAATAATAATAATAATAATAATAATAATAAACATGTCTTCCAACAACATACAAACTGTTAACATCTATTTTAACAAAACAGACATATTTCTTCTTGGAAAGAAATGACATACTACCACTTGAACAAAAAGGGTGCAAACGAGGCTGCTACGGATGTAAAGACCAATTACTTATTAATAGGATGATCCTGGAAAACTGCTTCCGTGAAAAAAAAATCTTAGTATTGCCTGGATAGATTATCGTAAAGCATTCGATAGTGTACCACATTCCTGGATCTTAAAGTCTTTAAAGTATGTACAAGGTATCACCCGTTATCATCAATTTCATCAAACAATGTATGTCGATATGGAAAACTACACTTTACCTCAATCATAAAAAAATGGAACCTATAAGTCTGGCGAAATAAACATCAATAGAGGAATATTTCAAGGTGACTCTTTGTCTCCTTTATTATTTTGCATATCACTTATAGCATTAACCAGCCAACTTAACAAGACAGAATGCGGTTACAAAATAGCTCAAAAAGAAAATAAACCATCTATTTTACATGGATGACTTAAAATTGTATGCTAGGAATGACAATGAGCTGGAAGGTCTTCTGCCAACTGTAAAATGCTTCAGTGAAGACATCGGAATGAAATTCAATTTGGATAAATGTGCTAAAGCTACAGTTTTTACGAGGATCATACAACAAACTTCCTCTATTAGTTTAGACCCTGCTGTAACAATAAAAGAATTAGAACAAGGAGAAGCTTATAAGTACCTAGGTGTAAATGAGAGTGAAGGAATTCACCATAAGAAAATGAAAGAAATAGTGCGTAAAAGAGTACTATAGAAGGGTACGACTGGTATTAAAAACTGAATTGAATTCTCAGAACAGAATTATGGCCATTAATAACCTAGCCATCCCAGTGGTCCAATATAGTTTCAACATCTTGAACTGGACTCTAAATGACATCAGACAAATGGATTCTAAAACAAGAAAGCTTCTTTCTAAGTATAAGATGCATCATCCAAAGGCTGATGTAGACCGTCTATACATACCCCGTAAAAAGAAGGTGGAAGAGGTCTTATTCAGCTAGAATTGTCATACAAGACAACAACTATTGGCTTACTAACTTACATGGAAACAACAAATGACTGGATGATAAAATTAGTGAAACAACATGAAAACAGAAAGAAAAAATATTCAATAATAAAGAAGGCAGTAAATACAAACAACATTTACATTTAGTAGATTCTGTAGTAAATCAAAACAGAAGCCAAGAACCAACTATTGCAGCAAAAGATATGAAAAAAGAAAGCCAAGGATAATGCCCTTGAACAGATGAAACAACGCTGGCAAGACAAACCTCTGCATGGCCAATATCCAGAACGTGCAAATAAACCCAATGTTGATAAAGTTAATACTCATCGATGGTTACGAGCATCTGGATTAAAGTCTGAAACTGAAGGCTTTATTCTTGCAGCGCAAGACCAGAGTCTTTTCACTAGGAATTTTCAGGCAAATATCATACATAATAATGTGGATCCAAAATGCAGGTTCTGTGACAAATACCAAGAAACAATAGACCATCTAATCTCAGGATGTTCTATACTTGCCCCAAATGAATATAAAAATCGTCACGATAGAGTGGGGCAATACTTACACTGGACAATGTGCAAACACTTTGGAAAATGTAAGCAAACACACAAGTATGAACATCGGCCAGCGCCGGTTACAGAAATAGAAGATGTCACCATTCTATGGGATTATACCATCCACACAGACAGAAAAATTGAAGCAAATAGGCCGGACATTATTGTCAAAAACCAGAAAGAAAAAACTTGCCTACTAATTGATATGGCTTGTCAGCGGATTGTAACATAGCAACCAAGGAATTTGAAAAACTATCAAAATACAAAGACCTGGAAATTGAAATAGAAAAAAATGTGGAAATTGAAAACAAGAATAATACCAGTGGTAATAGGTGCACTTGGAATTATAAAAAAAATGGAACAAAACAACACATTGAAAGAATCCCTGAAACCTCAAGCTTAAGAG